TAACGATTATAATTTGTTTTTTTTTTTTTTTTTTTTTTTTTTTTTTTGTTTTTTTTTTTTTTTTTGTTTTTTTTAACTTTAGTACAACTCTTTAATACATGTTAAATAAATATATTTTTTTTTAACTTTCTTTTATTATTATATGATGGTATTAGATTTTACACTTAAAACTAACTATTATCTCTCGTCCCCAAATTTTTTTTATATAAAGGTATAAAGAATTGTATTGGGTCATTATTAATATTATTAATACTTGAATATCATCTTTTTATATTAAGATAAAATAAATTTTAAGATTTTATTTTATCTTTAAAAATTATTAAAAAAATAATATACATATATTATAGTAATCCAACCATTATTATAAAAAATTAACAATTATTAATAAATAAAAAGAAATAAAAAATATAACTAATTTGGTTTATTATTTATTATTTTATTTTGTTTTATTTTTGACACTTTTAAATTTATTTGACATATCTTGTTTTAATCTATTTATATTTTTGTTTTAAATTTATTTTTCTTATATTATTTTAATGGTAAAATAAATTAATAATGGCGCAAGTAAATTATATAAAAGATATAAAAACATTTAAAAGTAATGAATAGTTTACTTTTTAGCTTATACTACCTTCTTTTCCTATCTTCAACTAACCACCTTTAAAACTAAAATTTTCAGTGTGGGATAATTAAAATGGGCTAATAATAAAAAACTTTAAGATAAAAAAAGTAAAAAAATCAGGTAACACAATGTATGTTTTAATAGTGGTATTTGTAATTTAATAATATCACTATCATAAAAGATAATTATTATTAAACTTTATTGCTGATGATGATAACAGTGCAACTACTAATTATTTATAATTATAAAAAAAAAAAGTAAAAAAAAGAAATTTTAATTTAAAAAATTTTATTTATCTATTATTATTTTTAATCTATGTTATTTAAAAAAAGATGACTACTATATTATATTATTGATGAAATAATAGATATGTATTTTAAACCTAATTATTAAAATAAAAAAAAAAAACTCTAAACTTTAAAAAAAAATAATTATTTTTTATAAATCTAATCAATCACGGTAACCATTTGGATTTTGTGATTGCCAATTCCAGGCGTCTCTGCACATGTCATCTTGATTGTGGGTTGCTTTCCAGTTTAATTCTTTTAATGCTTTTGATGGGTCAGCAAAACAACTACCAACATCGCCCTTTCTTCTGCTAACAAATTGATAAGGTATATCTCTATGTGAAGCTTTCTTTAATGCTTCAACCATGTCCAATACTGAATATCCATGACCTGTTCCAAGATTATATGCAACACAACCCTTTTTATTATGAATTTGTCTGGTTAATAAAAAAACAATAAAATTAGTAATTATTTTAAATAAATAAAATAATAAAAAAATATTTACCTTAAAGCAGCAATATGACCTTTTGCTAAATCTACAACATGAATATAATCTCTAACACCAGTACCATCATGTGTGTTATAGTCATTGCCAAAAATACTTAAAACTTCTCTTTTACCAATTGCAGTTTGGGTTACATAGGGCATAAGATTATTTGGAATATCTTTTGGATCCTCTCCAATTTTTCCTGATGGGTGAGCACCGACTGGATTGAAGTATCTTAATAAAATGCAACTCCATTCTGGGTCACTGGCAGCAAGATCTTGAAGAACACCTTCAACATATAATTTAGTACGTCCATATGGATTGGTGGCAGATAATGGGAATTCTTCGGTAATTGGAACTGTGTGTGGATCACCATATACTGTTGCTGATGATGAGAATACAATCTTTTTAACACGATGCTTATCCATTAAATTTAATAAATTAAGAGTGCCGGTGATATTGTTATTATAGTATTTTAATGGAATTTTATTTGATTCTCCAACTGCTTTCAAACCAGCAAAATGTATAACACTTGAAATATTTCTAGTTTCAAAAATTTCATCCAATGCTTTTTCATCTAAAATATCGACATTGTGGAACTCTACTTCTTTACCAGTAATTTCTTCAACACGTTTTAAACTTTCCAATGATGAATTGCTTAAATTATCTACAACAATTGGTGTATATCCAGCTTCTATTAATTCGATAACTGTATGGCTTCCGATATAGCCAGCTCCACCAGTTACCATAATTCTATCATCGATTGGCTCCATTGTTTAATTTCTATATTATGATTATTAAAATTATTTATAATATTATTATTTCTTTAATTGTAAATTATTATTATGATAACTATTAGTATATTTATAATTTATTAAACCAATACTAATAAACTATATAGATTTTATTGTTATTATAAAGTAGTGTTATAGTGAATAGTGGTACAAAGAAATAAAAAATTGAAAAATTTTTTTAAAAATAAAATTAAATTATTAATTTTATAAAAGTAGTATAATTATTATTTTAAAAATATTCGAATTTAGTTGTATTGATACTGTGTTAGTGTAAACTTTAATAGTTTAAATAAAAGAAAAAAATATATTTTATTGTGATAATCATTTATTATGTTTTTATTTTTTAATTGTATTATTAAATTTATTTTATTTTATTAAATTTTATTTTATTTTTTTTTTTAAAGAAAAAGTATTTACCAAATTAATAAATTGTAACTCCTATTCAAAAAAACATCCATATTAAAATAAATTCACTGCGGTGAATGAAATAATTTCATACACACTGTGTGCTATTAAACACACAATTAACACACAGTATATTTTGAAAAAAGTAACAACGAAATAAATTATGATAGACACATTGCCAATATTAACAAAAATTGGGCTATAAATGTTATTTTGTTGATTTTTTTAAATAATGGAGTTTGTATTCTATACATTTTGTATAAATATTAAATGGATAAGCAAATTTAAGTGAAATAAAATAAAAATAAATTAAAATTAACAACACACCACCACACAACACATACAAATAAATAAAAAATAATTATGAGTTGAAATGATAGCACACTTTTTAACACACAATGTTGCATCCAAAAAAATCTAATAAAAATTCTTTTGTGGTGTGGGCACTTATTTATTTTTTTTTTTTTTTTTGAATTAAACAACCCTTCTTTTTTATACCTTTGTATTTATTAAATATAGACAACAGATAAATGAAAAACAATCGTAAATTTATTTTATAAAAAAATAAATATTTATAAATGGTATTATTTTCCCTTTTTATATTTTTTTTTTGGTTACCAAAAAAAAAAAAAAAATAAAAAGATATTTACCTTGAGTTTATTTTTAAAATATTTTATTTTTTACGGAAAGTACTATACATATATCTATTTACAATTTTTTAATAAAACAATCAAATACAAATTAAGAAAAGAGCTAATGAATTTATTTTTGGTATTAAATTAAAAATAAAATAATTTTAAAAAAAATAAAATAAAAAACAAAAAAAATAAAAAAAATTTTAAATTTTCTAAAAAATAAAAAAATAAAAAATAAAATAAATTTAACGATATTGGGAAACTAAAATGTCATTGGATAATAAATAATTTACACAACCCAAATAATAAACAATCACATACAAAAAAAAAAATTTTGAAATAAAACCAAAAATACATATTTGTGCACTCAATTTTAAAAAAAATAAATAAAAAATAAAAAGAAAAGTTGATTGAATGTTTGGAATTAACCCACCAAAAAGAAAACAATTGATTCTGTTTTATAAAAATAAAAAAAAAAAAGAAATATAAAAAAAGATAAAAATAATTTATATCAAATTTGAATATAAAATGCTGGATAATTCAATAATGGTGGGTGATAAGGGCAGTAAAGAATTGAAAAAAAATAAAAAATAAAAAAAATAAAATTTAAATTTTAATTTAAATTTAATTTTATAATTTAAATATAAATAAAATAACAAAAAAAAACCTTGGATATTTATATGTGAATGCCAATAAATTGTTTCTTTTTTTTCTTTTTTTTCTTTTTTTTTCTTCTTTTTCTTTTTTTTTTTTTTGAATCAATTTGATTTTTCTAAATTGGTAGGAGTTTGGTGAGTTGGGTGGATAAATATATTTGTATCTATAATTGCAATTATTTTATAAAACCAATAGAATAAAAAGGTTAATAGATCCACTTAAAACTTTTTTTTTTTTTTTTTACTTTTTTATTTTTTTAATTTGTATATTTATTTAAATAGTTTATTTAGTTTTGTTTCTTTTTGTTTAAAGCTCTCTTTCTTTGTCCAAGATGCATATCGAATAAAATTTTTTCAGTAACAAATTCTGGTAAACTTTTAATGAAGAAGCTGTGAAAAATAAAAGAAAATAAAAAATTAGTAAAATTATATTAGGACATAATCCGCTCTTTAATATTATTATATTTGATATTTACGCTTGAATTTCGTGACTCCAATAACCGGTGGTAATCTTTTCGTGACCAATAGTAGCAACAGCTGATCTAGTGAAAGCTTCTGGTGATGGGACGAATAATGAAGTTCTACGAACTTTTGACATATTACTAACAACAATACCTGGGGTAATACATTGAACGAAAACACCTCTTTTAGCATATTCGGTATTTAAAGCAAGTGAGAATTTTTCGACGTAAGCTTTGGTACCACTGTAAACTGATAATAAGGCAACACCACTTGGTGCAATACCGCTGAATGAACTTAAGTTAATAATACAACCTCTCTTCTTTTCGGACATGCTGTTAAATTCATAAAAAAAATTGATAGATTAATATATTTTAAAATGATGATAACAATGAAAAAAATGATAAATAAATAAATAAATATTAAACATACGTTGGAAGAACAAATTTAGATAAAACAGTAAGAGATCTAACATTTAAGTTGATTAATGATTCGATGGTACTTGGTTGTAATTCATCAAGGTACATTGGATGTTCATATGAGATACCAACATTATTAACTAAAACACCAATATCTAAACCACCGAGTTGTTTGTATAATGCTTGATATTTAGTATCATCAGTTGTGTTAAAATCGAATGAAATAACTTTAGTTTGAACATTGTATTTGTTTTCTTTAAAAAAAAATAATTTTTAATAATTGAATTTAAACCCCTCGCTTATTAATTATTTTGAATACAAACCAATTTCTGAGGCAACAAGGTTTAATTTTTCTTGGCTTCTGCTAACTAAGCAAATGTTAAGACCTTTTTTGGCAAATTGGTGACAATAAGCTTTACCAATACCATCAGTGGCACCGGTGACGACTGAAATATTTAGTTTTGAAAATAAAAGAAAGTATGTTAGTGATTACACATTTGAATTATAAAGTTCATAAGAAAAAAAAAAATTGTCTTTTTTTTTTTATATTAAAATTTTAATATAAATTAATTAACTGATCAACTTACCGACCCAACTGCCATATTTTTTAATGTTTACTGGAGCTCTAAGAGAAAAGGCATAAACGAACATGATAAAACGGTAGGCATATCTGATAACAATACCCAAACCAATGATAAGGGAAATACCTTTAATAGATTCAATCATTTTTTCAAAACAAATGTATATGATCTTTTTAAAAAATAAAAAAAAAGAAAAAAAAAAAGTTTTAAAAATTATAAAAAAAAAATTAAAAAATAAAAAAAAATTAAAAAACTAATTTTTTTTTTTTTTATTTTTTGTGAAGATATTTCAAATATCAAAATGATTATTTGGTTGTGTTCACAAAAAAAAAAAAATTAAAAAAATTAAACGACAAAACCAAATAACATCTTTTTTTTTTATATCTTAATTATTATATAACACAAAAAATAATTTTGGAATTTGATTATCAAGAAAAAGAAAAAAAAAATAATTATGGAGGAAAATCTAAGATTGTGTGTGAATTATTTAAATATTTACAATGTTATTTTTTATGATGAAATTAATCGAATTTATTAAGATTTTAAAATTAATAAATTAAGTATTTTTAAAAGTTATTTAATTCTTTACCAAACTGATTTAGAATCCATTTCTTTATTGTTGGCTGTATTTGAGGTTTGTGCTGGAGAGTGCATTTCTGAGGTGTGACAGAAACCTTTAATGTTACTGACATAGTTACCACCTTCTAATTCGCCACCGACATGATCGATGACACCATCATTTGGCCATTTTAATACACTGTTGGCGGCAAGTTGGCAATAGTTAATTAACTTACCAGTTTTGTATTGAGTAGTGGTATAATAGACGAGAGCACGTTTTTCTTTTGGAATGGTATTTAACCAAAGAGCAGCACCATCGATAGTGAGATCATTGTTTGCTGAGCAACCAATGCCAATGATTTTACCAATGCTAGCAAGAGTACCAGCGAGGGCAGTACCTTTGTATGGAGTACCCATGGATTGAATAACACGACCTTCATAGGCAGTTGAGAGATCGAGACCACTGTGGTAAAAGGTTAATAAGTGAAGAGCTTGGTTACCACCTTGACTGTGTACAACTAATGAGAAACCATCGGTATATTGAGCACCAAATTCACCAACCATTTGAGCAAATTGATCATTACCTCTATTCTGGTTAAGATCTAAAAATTGAACTGCATTGGTAAAGTCTTGGAGTGGCCATGGGTTATCAGATGAACAATAACCGTGAACTAAGATTAATTTACCATTACCTGATGGAGTTTTACCGAAACGTTGAGCGAGGTTTTCTGGCATTTTACCATCACGCATTTCTTTGGTGATGATATGGAGTGGGACATCAAAGTCGATTTGATTGACATCTTTGTATTGACCAATCATTTGAACACCCAAGTGTGATGATTGATTGCTTAATGGAATAAAGGTATTGAGATCTGAGATGATAACATTTTTAACAGAGAATGGACCAGTGACACCATCTAATTTAGCAATCCATCTAGCGTTTAAGTTGGCTGATAAACAATAGGTACCTTGGTATGATTGAGCTGAGGTAACACCACCGACCCAGGCAATAGCAACTTTATTACCCTTTTTATCGGTACCATAAACTTCAGAGTAAAGACGAACTGGAGTAGTGGATGGAGTGGTTTGGTTGGCACTTTCGACTTCATAGTAAAAGTTAAGATTAGCATCACCATCTTGTTCACTGAAAACATTACCAGTGAGTTCAAGGAATTGAGTGGTAATTGGAATTAAATGTTGATTTGAACGAACGATATTCTTTTTATCTTTAGTACCCTTGAGGACAACTTGGATATCATAGTTACCTAATTCTTGGACGGTCATGTAGGCACCATAAACACCATCATCAGCATTTAAATCATCATGGAGACCATCATCAAACATTTCAATAACTTCTGAGGAGCCATCTGGGAGTGAAACAAAAACTTGAGCAGTGGTACTGGTGAGTTTAAGTGGAGTTGGTTTCCAATTGAGTGGACGTGAGGTTAAATCAGTCCATTCTGATTTTTTGTGAAGCATTGCTAAAATTGGAACTTTTTCATTGACGAATAAGTTGTTGTATGATTGAACATATGAATAAATATGTGTATCACTTGGATTTTGAACAAGAAGGAATAAATTGGCTTCACCATCTGAAACTCTTGATTTGAATTTATTGTTTTTATTTAATTCTTGGTTGGCTGTAATTTTAATTGTCCAATCACCTACTGTTGGTTTGTCCCAGGTATATGATAATGATGGTACGGTAGCACCATCAATACCAAAAGTTCCATTTGTAATGGTTGGAGTTGGGGTATCTGATTTCATCATTTTATGGATTCTATCTTTATGTTGCTTATTATATTCAAAGTGATTTCCATGACGACGACCGTGGTTATTGTGGTCTAAATCAATTTTTGGTTGGGTAGCTTCGACACTTAATCCTACAGCAAAATCTGAGAAAATTGTGAGTGTGAATTCTTTATCTGAATCAACTGAAACAATACCAACCCATTCAGCTTCGTTGGTGGTTTCACTATTGACTAAAGTAATTGGAATTAATGAACTATCTGAACTTTGTGCTACATCTTCTGGATTTGGAATTTTAAATGATTCAAATTCTGATGGTTCACCTGATAAATTTTTTGGTATTAATTTTGAATTAACTAAACTAATTAATAGTACTATTAAAACTATTAATAATTTCATTTTATTCGATTTATTTCTTTTTTACTTCTTTTTTTTTTTTTTTCTTAAAAATTATTATTACACTTGATTGATTACAAAAAAAAAAAACCTATTTTAATTTTTACGTATTATTTAAAAAAAAAAAAATTATTACAAAAAAAATATTTTATTATTTATTATTATTTATATAGTATTAAATTATTATTTATTAAAATAATTAAAATTAGTATTAATTTGTATTCATTGATTTATATATATTGTAGTTGGTTGTGAGTGATGACAAAAAAATAAAGATAAAAACAAAAAAAACAAAAAAAAAAAACACAATTTTAATAAAATAAAAAAAAAATTAATTTTAATTTTAATTTTAATTTTTATTTTTTATATTTTTTTAAGAAAAAACCCACCAACACACAAATAAAAATAATTATAATAAATAGAAATAATGATCAATTATTACCTAAAAAAAACCTATGAACTAAACAAAATGAAAAAAAAAAATATTATAAAATATAGAAAAAAACAGAAAACAATTCTTTTTTATATTTCTACTGGTAAAAAAAATAAAAATAAAATTAAAATTAAAAAAAAAAATAAAAAAAAAAAAAAAAAAAAAAAAAAAAAAATAATTTTTAAATAAACCAAAAAAAAAAAAAAAAGAAAAAAGAAAAAAAATAAAAAGGAAAATACTGATATTTTTTTATTAATTATCAATAAGAAAAAAATATTTAACCATCTTCAAAAAAAAATACCTTTTGATCACTTCTTGTGAAAATTTTGTGTAAGCTTGGTTGAAATTTTTTTTTTTTTAATTATTATTTTTTTTTTGAGGGATACCTGTCTATCCCCATAATAAAAAAAATGGTAATGAATCCAGTTTTATTAAAAATATCTATACCCTTTGGTGCTATTTTATACACAACTTTTGAAAAAATAAAAAAATAAAAAAAATAAAATAAAATAAAATAAATAAAGTAAAAAGAAAAGAAAAGGAAAAAGAAAATTTTTTTTCTTTTTAAATTTTTGTAATTTTACAAATATAATAAATAAAAGATATTTATTGATTTTTTTAGATTTGAGGGATTTTTTTTTTTATCATTATTTATCCGAGCTTGAATCTGAATCAACATAATTTTTGGCCCATTCTCCTTCCATTTCATTTTCTTCATTTTCAACTTTGTCGCTATTATATTCATCACTTTCTTTACTTTCGTTACCTTCATTATTTTCATTACTTTCATTACTTTCACCATTTTCATCCTCTTCCTCTTCTTCTTCTTCCTCTTCCTCTTCATCTTCATCTTCATCCCCTTCCTCATCCTCTTCATCCTCTTCTTCTTCACTCTCTTCTTTATCATCTTCTTCAATTTCTTTGTTTTTTTCGGTTGTGGTTTCTTTTAATAGTGGTGTTAATTGTTGATGCTCTTTAAATTGTAATGTACCACCAATTGCATTTTTTGAAACTGAAACTGATCTTGTTCTTGTTACTACTTCAGGTACTGGATCATTTTCATTTAAAGCTCTAAGTAAAAAGTAGGTTTTGATTTTTCTCTTCTTGATAATACCTTCTGGACGTTCTTCAAAGAGGTATTTTGATTTTAATATGTTAAAAGTATCTTCGCTAACGTGTATCATATCAGCTTTACCAGTATTTTCCATTTGTTGAGTTATTTGTACACTTTCACCCCATAGTTGATAATGGATCATTTTAATACCGACAACACCAGCAATAACAGGACCAGTATGAATACCAATTCTCATTCTTACAGGTATATTATCGACTGTTCTAATTGATTTAATTGACTCCAACATTTTAATGGCCATATTTGCAACACGAAAGGCATGATCGGTGTGGTCTTTCTCTGGGCATCCTGATACACACAAATAGGCATCACCAATAGTAGCTACTTTTAATACGCCAAATTCAGCGGCAATTTCGTCAAAGGTAGAGTAGATTTGATTTAGTGTTTCGACCAATTGTCTTGGTGACATACGAGCAGCCATTTCAGTGAAGCCAACAATATCAGATAAAAAGATGGTAACTTGTTTAAATTCGTCGACAATTAGTTGTCTACCAGATTTCATGGTTTCTACAATATCTTTTGGAAGAATTTCAGCTACCAATTGTTCGGTTTCTCTTTGATCTTTATCTAATAGTCTACCATGGACCCAATTTAAACGATTGAATAGCTCTTCAAAATAACTGGTTGCAACGTTGATTAATACTACTGTTATCAAATAATAGTTGTGACTTAGCATGATATCTCTATTGGTATTCTTCCATGTCATTGAAAGTTCAAAAAATAATATACAAAAGAAACACACTAAATTTGCATACCAAAATTTAATACCTGATAAATTGTAACCTATAGTAATAATCATCATTATAATTGACAATGCTAATGTATCGTTTGGTAAATTATTTAATGGTGGGATACTTGATAAAACCAACATCATTGCCGTTATAAATATAAAAAATAAACCTGCTATTAATTGAACATGTTTTTTAATTTTAAAACTGTGGGGTTTTAGATAAAATAATAAAAAAACATTAATAACCAAAATTTTTACATATTTTAGGGATAAAATAAATATACTTACGATTTGAATTTTGAAATTATATAAATAAAAATTAAACAAAAAAATACTAAACCATAACGAATACCAGTAATTATATCATAGATTTCGTTTTCTTCTTCACGGTCATTGTGGTATATTGATGATGTTGAAAAATCTTGAGTGATAATGGTAGAGTTATTATTATTTGGTTCGGTTTTGACCACAGAGGAAATGGACGAAAATTTTAAAAAAAAGTAGTCGACAAGACCACCTAAAGCAAAAAGACCGTTAACTAGAAGCATTGACATTGTAATTCTATTAAAGTTATTTGTGATATATTCGTTGCTGTATTCCTGTTCAACCAAGTTACCTCTTGAAATAAACGATAATCTAAATTTATTTAAAGTATAGTGTATGGTTAATTCTTTTTCGAGTTGTGTTAATTTTGAATTGTTTGTAGCTATAACATTTGAGCCATGAATTCCTTTGCCTAAATATAAATTTTGCTCCTGTGGTGTATTAACGACTGAAAGATCATTTTCATTCATTTCATCATCCATCGCAAATTGTTCAAACAATGCTGGTGATGGTGATCTTACACTACCAAAAGTGCCTTTTGAAAGTGTACCGCTTGGTGTATGAAATTGTACACCTTTTTTCTTGTCGATTCCATTTGGACTATTGTTGTTATTATTCATCATTAAACTACTTAATGAACCTGTACTATTACTGTGTTGAAGTTGTGGGTGTGAGAATCTTGGTGATGCTACAGTATTGGTTTCACTACCGCTTACATTACTACCGCTTACATTGCTACCAGTAGTACCGCTACTACCTGATGCAGTTTCGGTACCATTCGCTAGATTTGTTAAATTATTTGAAGAGTTTGATGGTGATGACAATGAACCAGTTTGAAGGAAATTTAAAACTTTTGGAGGCATTACTGAGGCAAAAATACTACCTTTACGTTCTCTACGTGCGCTATTTGGCATTGGTGGCATTTCAACACTGATTCTTTGGGGAATTGCTGATGCTGTTGTATTGCTTGATGATTCTTCGGGCTTATCAAAACTAACTTCAGATATATCGACTGGTGGAATATATGGTTTTTCACGATGTAAACTTGAAAAGATTGAGGTGTAACGCTTATCCAATTGTTTGGTTTTGATTAAATAAAAGGTTCTCATTAAACCTTTGCCCTTTATTTGAATTTTACCTCTATCTTCAAAAAGGAAATATGGACGAAGTAATTGTTGAACTGGATGACTAACTTGAATTTTACCAATAACACTATGACTTGCCATACGTGAGCTTGTATTAATTGTATCACCAAATAAATGCCAACTTAATTTCTTTTTACCAATAATACCACCAACTACTGGACCTGTATGCATACCAATACGTACTTGAACAATACCAAATCTACGAATTACAGATAACATACCCAAACTCATATGGGCAACACGTTGAGCATGATCTGGGCATAGTTCAGGACATCCACCTACAACCATATAAACATTTCCAATGTGTTCAACCTTGGTGACACCATAAACATCTGTCAATCTATCAAATGAATTGTAAACTTCGTTTAAAAGATTAATAACGTGAGCTGATGACATTTTTTCTACTAAAGCATTAAAATTCACTATTTCGCAAAATAAAACTGTAACTGGATCATAACTATCAACAATTAACTCGGTTCCTGAATATTGACCTGGTTGTAATGATGATGGTGATTGTGGATCTACAACTAAACTATTCTTTCTATTATTTACTGGGGTTAAACAAATTTCATTATTATTATTATTATTACTATTTTCTTTTTTATCTTTCTTTTTATCTTTTTGTAGTTGTTGTTGTTGTGATAAATTGGTTTCTAATGATTGATCTTTTGACGATTGTAATCTTAATCTTTGTACTACTACAGCTGGTAACATTTGATTAATAATTTTTTCAGATCTCATGGTTTGAATTTTCAAATTTTCTAAAGTTCTAAATTTATCTCTAAATAATTGTTCTCTATATCTTGAAATTAACATTAAGATAATCCAACTGACTAATAATACCAACGATATCAATACCATTGCTTTTCCTTTAATTTTAGTATAAAGTATAAAATATAGGAAATAAAATAAACCTAAAATTCCTGATGAGATAATTGTTGGTAAAAACGTCTATATATTTTAATAAAAGAGGTGAGATTTTGTTAATAATTATTAATGATTAAATTAATTGATAAGAATATTTTCTAATTACCATTCCTGATGAAATTGAGATAATAACAAATAATAGTATCATTCTACCTGGAATTGTTCTTATATCGTTTTCAAAAATTAAAACTATACACGAAGCTAAAAATAGTGCCAGAGTATTAAAAAATTTCCAAAGTTTTTTGAAATTTGGTGTAAAAGTAAATGCAAAATACATCAAAAGAGCACCTATTGTAGCCATTCTAAGAATGAATGTATCTCTTTTCTTATTTGCTAAATATGGGAAATAATGATTATCATCTATATGACCATCTGCTTCTGTATAGTTATTATTTATATTATTATTACTGATACTGATACTGCTACTACTGCTGCTACTATCATTATTTGGAACATAGTTGAAAAAATAAATGTTGGGGCTGTCATAATAAGGTAGATAGGTTATATTTAAAGGTGATAGGTATGCCACCATTGTTCCTATAAAAAATACTGCAATTAGGAATACTATTGAAATTCTGATTTGTTTTGCATAGGTGTAATAGTAATATGACTGGAAATGCTTTTCTTCTTGAACACGAGGAAATCTGAGATCGAAAAATTCCAAATATTTTTTAAGACCAGTCTCTTGTTTTCTTACATCTGGTAATGTAAACATCATTTTTTATGAGTATATATATATATAAGTTGTTCTATTATCTATATTGTTATCTATATTATTACTACTATTATAATAATAATAGTAATTGGCTAATTACTATTACTATTATTACACTTTATTCTTCCCTATTATTACAAATTATATTTTAGTTGGTTTAAGGATATTATTACTATTTTAATAAAATTAAAAGTTCTTTTTGATTGATAAATTTGAATAGATTGGCATTAGAAAATAAAAAAATTCAGAAAAATAATCGTTAATTTTTTTTTTTTTTTTTTTTTTAATAAAATTTTATTTTTTATTATTTTTTTTAAAAATTATTTAGTTTTATAAAAAAATTATATAATTAGTAACATATTGATTTTTAGATTATTATATTTTAATATTTATTAGTTTTTAAAAAAAAAGACAAAAACACAATAAAAATCAATAATTTAATAATCAAAAAATTATTATTATTTGATTTTTAAAAAAATTAAAAAAAAAACTCATCATCTGGGTGTTTATAATATAATTAATATTTTATTATTATTTTTGATTATGATTATGATTTTTGTTATTATTTTTTTTTATTTGTTTTTTTAATTGTTATTGATTTAATGTTTATCTATAGAAGTGTATATTAATTTTTTTTTATTGTTGACATATTGGTTAAATGTCTAAAAATAAAAAATTTTATTTTTTATTTGGGTGTTGTTGTGTGGGTTATTTGTATGCAGTGTTTGTGGGGTTTTGATTAAAATTTTATTTTTTTAATATTATATACCATCAAATAATAATTTAATATTTATAAAAAAATTTATGGTTTATAATTATAATTATATATAGCTGCCATACCTTAAAACCTTTTTTTTATAAACTAGAATGCTTTTATTTTATAGATATTTTGGTTAAAGTAATTGTATTGATATATATATATGTAAATAAATATGTTATAAAATATTAATTATTAATTATAAAATGAAAATGATTATTAGGTAAAAGTTTAGATTTTTTATTTTTTAAAAAATTTTTTATTTTTTTTTTAATTTTTTTTATTTTTTTATTTTTTGAATTATAATGCAGTTATGATCTTAGATTTTTTTTACTCCATAGTAAAATCCATTTATTTCTAACTACTTTATGCTATAATTGTGGTTAAATAATTATTTAATTTTTTTTTTTTTAAATTTGATTTCTTATAACTATTATTTTTTTAAATAATAATATTATAATAAATATGAATAAATTAGGAAGAGAATTGATTTATTTAATTGTAATAAAAAAAATTTTATTGAGGCAAATCATTCCCGAGTGAGTTTCCCAAAGTCTTTTTATAACAAAATAAGAAAAAAAAAATAAATAAATAAAAAAAATAAAAAAAAAATAATTTTTAATCTATATAAAAGAAAAAGGTATTTATATGAGGAATATGTCTTTTTTTTATTATAAAAATTTTCTATATTATATTTAATTTATTTACCAATAAAATTTCATTGTTTTATATTTTAAATTATTATTTTAACCATTTTTTTTTATTAATTTTCTTGTGGATAAATTTTTATTTTTTAGAAAATTTAATTTAGTGTTTAATATTTACAAATAAATTATTTATTAATTAAAATAACTATTATGATTCATATTATTTTATATTATATAATAATATAATATAATACAATATAATAAATTAATTAATGGTTTTGTTTTTGTTTTATAAATGGTAGGTATAATCATAATCATAAAAATAATCATAATCATTTATTAATTTACCAATTTTAATTAAAAAATAAACTAAATATTTTAAACACCTTGCGAAAAAAAAAAAATAAAAAAAAAAAAATAAAAATCATAGACACCCCTCACACAATAAAAATCTCATTAATACAAAGTTCAACCCCACAGCTTCAAAAAATTAAATGCAAACATATAGTATATATTTTTAAATTAATAAATTTTTACAAAAAGGTATAGTTATTTTCTTTTGTAATTTTCTAAAACATATAACTGTTTAAATTATATTTTTTTTTTTTTTTTTTTTTAATAATTAATTAATTAATTTTTTTTTTTTTTCAAAAACATATTTAAATTTTAATTTTTAATTTTTTTATTTTTTAAAATATTTAAATTTTTATTTTATTTTTTTATTCTTTTTTTTTTTTTTTTTCCATTTATTAATTATTACTACCAACCTGTATATCAAATTAATAATATAATAATAATAAATTAAAAAAGTAATAATCTAAAATAACTAAAATTTTTTTTTTGTAGAAAAAAAAAAATAAAAAAAAAATAATCTCCCATTTCAAAAAATCATATATAAACTATCAATGATTAATCAGCTAAACTATTCAAATATCAATTCCAACAATAATAACTATAGCAACAATGGGTCTAATAATAATAATTCAAATAGTGATGAAGCAGATAATAATTCACCATTACACCCAACCTCATATGATAGTAGCAATGAATTAATAACCATTAAAAATAATAAGAGTAATAACATCAACAACAATAATTGCAATATTAATAGTAATAGAAAATCAAATTTAGACAATAGTGATAATAAATCAAAAATATCACTGAATATTGAAACCAATAGTAATAGTATCAGCAACAATAAACATCAAATAGACCTAAAATCTCCTTCACAACAACAATATAATATCCAAAGCCTATCAATAAATAGTACTGATTTTAACAATGTCCATAGAAATATAAGTAGCAATATAAATAGCATTAGTTTTAGTCCATTCTTGAATAATAGCAATTCCAATAGTAATACTAGTCCATTTTTAAATAGTAATAATAAATATAATTATAACAATAGCAATAGTAGCAGTATTAATAATAATATTTTAAAAGATGATGATAAAATAAATAATGGAGTCTCAACAATAAAATATCTACATAAACAAGAAAATTCGGTAGAAATTTTATCATCACAAAATTTAAATAGTGCCTATATATCCACACAAAATAAATATAATAACAATACAAACAACGAATCATCAAACACCAATGATATTGATAGTGTTTGTATAAATACCAATAACAATTGTTTAAATAGAAGTAAAAATGATTTTGAAAATAACTATCAGAAAAGTCAAAATCATATACCAACCCATTACCAATCTTCACCAGATATTAGCCCATTTTATAACAAAACTATTGATATAAGAAGTAAATATTATAATAATAGTAGCGATGGAGATTTTCAAAACTATTATTCGTTCAATAATAGCTATGGATCAAATAATTTTAATAATTATTATAGTAGTAATAATAACGCCCCTAATAAGAGTAGCAATTTTTATAATAGTAATAATAGCTATAACTATAATTGTAGTAATACTACAGTGAATAATTTTTTAATTGATGAAGACAAAAATCGCCAACTATCTAAAGAGTATCCAGCAAATCCTAAATTATCGCCAAAGGATTTTATATACGAAAATAATAATACAATAACCAATGAAAATAGTAGCAATCAAACAATATTTGTAAATAATAAAACAAACAATAAACAATTACCACATCTATTACCAGATCGTTATAGTAATAATGATAATAACAATAATTCAATTAATACTAATTACAATAATAATGGTGAAGATTTATATGACTATGACGCATTGAATAGTATGGTCTCTCAAATTGTTGATGGGGGAGAAAACGAAAACTTTAAAAGTAATATTATCAACAGTAGTAAAGATGAAAATATTATCAATTTTGATTATCAACAATTAACAAATCAACTATCAATGTTTAATATTGACAACAACAAAATGGGAAGTAGAATTAGCCCTATTCAAAATAGTATTAGTAATAAATCCAATTTGAAAGCAACTTCAAATAGCTTTATCAGCTCATATAGCACAGTATCAGGTCTAGATAATAACAATGGTCAAATTTCTCCCACCCAACAAAATAAATATGAAACTACAACAGCTGATTTAAATGTAAATAATATCAATGTTAATAACAATAATAGCATCCAAAGTACAACTGCTTTAAACAATAATGTAATCACTACATATTTAAAAAATAATAATCTTTTAAACAATACTAGTGCCAATAAATCAAAATTTAATAATGTAAAGAATAATAGTAATAAATTCAATTACAAAATAGAAGAAAAAGAAACTAGCGAGCTTATATTAGATTTATTGGAGCACCAAAGAAGAGAAGACACACTAGCTGAATTGGTTTCAAGAAAAGATAAAGTGGATAATCTTTCACAGATGATTTGGAATTCACCCAATGTTGTATCAGTTCTTCTCCAGGATATTACCGCTCTCTATGAAAATATTTCACTACCAAATCCAAAATTAAAGGCCAGAGCTTCAAACAAAATTTGTAATATTTTAATTATCTTTCAGTGTATAGCTTCAGATCCAGAAATTAGATCACAGTTTATCCAATTAAAAATAATATCATATGTTTATCCATATTTATTAACAACTTCAAAGTCAAAGCCATTCGAATACCTTCGTCTCACTTCACTTGGTGTAATAAGTTCTGCTATTAAACAAGAATCTCAAGAAATAATTTCATACTTGATAGATATAGATATATCCACACCTTGTTTAAAAATAATGGAAAATGGTAATGATTTATCAAAAACTGGTATGTATTTTAAATACTTTATACTTCATTTCTATTTTTATATTAATTTTTTTTTATATAATTTATAGCATCGGCATTTATTCTTCAAAAAATATTAAATTGGGATGATGGATTAAATTATTTTGTTCAATCCTCTGAAAGATTGGCCAATCTAACCAATGTGTTAAAGAATATGGTTGAAGCAATGATACCAGACCACATGTCCTCACGTCTTTTAAAACACATTGTCAGATGTTATCTTAGATTATCTGAGTGCGCTAAAATTAGGGATCATCTTCCAAGTTGGATGCCAGCATGTTTTTCAAATGGTAAATTAAACGAGTTCATTCAAAAAGAAGGTGACGTAATCGTTAAACGTTGGTTTACTCAGTTAATGGGCAATCTTTATCCATCACAACAAACAAATAAAAGACAACAAAAACAATTAAACTTTATCAATAACAAACCATCACAAACTGAAAACAAAACTAACTCAAATTGGATTAACAATAGCAACAAAACCAATAAACAATAATAGAAATAATAATAAAACAATAATATTAATAATAGATTTAATTCTAGAGATTAGAATTAATTAGTAAAATATTTTTTATAAAAAAAAAAAAAAAAAAAAAAAAAAAAAAATTTTCTCTTTACTAGTTTTTTCCAAAATAAAATTTAAATAAAATAAATTATTAGTTATATTTTATATTTCTACATATTTTTGTTTCTTCATTTATTTATATCTATAATTAAAAAAAATAAAAAAATAATTCAAAAAAAATTAAAAATTAAAAAAAAAATTGTTTTAAAAAAAAACGAAAAAAACGAATTATTTTTTTTTTTTTCATTTTTAAATTTTTTTTTTTTAGTTTTCATCATTACTATTGTTATTAGTTTAGTTACTTATTTACACATACATATAAAATAAAAATGAGTGAAGAACAAAATGTTAGTAATGATTTAATGGATCTTGAAACTACATTTGACCAAATGGGTCTAGATAGTAGAATTTTAAGAGCATTAAAGAAAATGGGTTTTAAAAATCCATCACTCGTTCAAAGTAAAGCAATTCCATTATCACTTCAAGGTAAAGATATTTTAGCTAAAGCAAGAACTGGTTCAGGTAAAACCGCTGCATATTCAATCCCAATTATTCAAAAGATTTTAACTGCCAAAGAAGTATGTATAACACCATGTTTATTTTATTTTTTTATTTATTTATTTATTTATTTATTTATTTATTTAAGAGTTGGATATTTAATTTGTTTTATATGAATTTTTATTAATTTTTTTATTTTTTAAAATTTTAGAAAACAAATATTAAGGGTGTCAAAGCAGTTATTTTAGTACCAACTAGAGAGTTATGTGAACAAGTTAAACAACATTTCACTCAATTATCATGTTATTCAAGTCATTTGGTATCAGTTGTGCAATTAGGTGGTGATAAATCAATCGATGAACAAAAGGGTTTACTTCGTGATATCCCCGATGTTATTATTAGTACACCAACTAGATTAGTTCAACATCTTCAAAATAAAACCATTCAATTACAATCATCTTTAGATATTTTAGTTATTGATGAAGCCGATCTTGTTTTATCATATGGTCATCAAGAAGATATTAATATCATTAAATCATTTTTACCAAAAGTTTGTCAATGTTTCCTCATGTCTGCTACTTTAACCCAACAAGTCGAAGAATTAAAAAAATTAGTTCTCCACACCCCAGCAATTTTAAAATTAGAAGAAGATAAAGCCATTCAAACCAATTTAACAGAATATTCCATCAAGTAAGTATTAACAATGAAAATTATAAATTAAAATATATATATTTATAAAATAACGATATTAATTGGTTTTTTATTTTTTCTATTATAGATGCGCTGAAACCGATAAATTCCTTTTAATATTCTCATTATTAAGATTAAGATTAATGCAAGGAAAGATTTTATTCTTTGTCAATGATACAAATAATTGTTATAAATTAAAATTATTTTTTGAAAGATTTCATATTAAATGTGCAGTTTTAAATTCAGAATTACCAATTAACTCAAGACACAATATTATTTTACAATTCAATAAAGGTATTTTTGATTATTTAATTGCAACTGATGAATCATTTAGCTCAACTACATCTACATTAAAAGAAGAAGAATTAGAAGATAAAGACGAAGAAGAAATGGAAGATAGCATCGATGGTGAAGAAGAAGGTGAAAATGACGATGATGTTGATGAAGAACAAGAAGAAGATGGTGAAGATGAAGAAGCTGAAGAAGCTGAGGACGATGAAGAGGAAGGTGATGATGATGAAGAAGCAGGTGACGAAGATATGGATGAACCAGAACCAGAGTTAGATATCGAAAATTTAATTAAAAAAAATATTACTAAATCAAATAAATCAAATAAATCAGATCCAAAAGTTGATAAAGAGTATGGTGTTGCAAGAGGTATCGATTTTAAGAATGTAGATATTGTTGTAAACTTTGATTTCCCAAGAACCATTAAGAACTATATTCATCGTATTGGTAGAACTGCTAGAGGTACAAATAAAGGTATTGCTTTATCATTCGTCACTTTTAACAACGAAAACTTATTAAGCAAAGTTCAAAAGACAAGAGGTGAAGCCGGTTACAATTTAAAACCATTCGAATTCAAGATGAATGCAATCGAAGGTTTCAGATACAGAGTAGAGGATGTACTCAGAAACGTTAATGTCCGTTCAATTAAAGAAGCCAGAAAATCTGAATTAAAACAAGAAGTTTTAAACAACGAAAAATTAAAGTCACATTTTTCAGAAAATCCACAAGATCTTTTAGCTTTAAAACACGATACTGCTCTCATTAAAAAACAAGTATCAAATCATTTAAAATATGTCCCAGAATATCTTTTACCACAACAATTTAAATCACACGTCGATCAAAAATTAGAAGTCATTCCATCAACCAACAATCCTGAAAAAGTTAGAGGTGTAAATTACAGTAAAAAAACCGAACAAAGAAGAAGAAAGAAAGATATTTTAAAGACTTTATCAATGAAAGCTGGTTCAACCCTTACTGGTGAAGAATTGGCTCAAGCTCGTTCTAAATCTTTAATTAAGAGATTGAAAATTAAAGAAGATAATATTTCTGCTGATGGTACATTTAAAACCGTTAAAGTCAAGAAAACTCATAAAAAAAATAAATCTGGTTTTGTTCATTAATTAATTTAATATTTAATTAATTAAATAAATAAAAAAATAAAAAAATAAAATAAATAAAAAAACTTTAAAATAAAAATTATTTTATATTTTCTTTTTGATTATTTTTTATAGTTTTGTGGATTTTAGTTTATATAGTATACCAATTACTCTGATTTTATTCTATTATTTTAAATATATAGTTTAAATTGGAATGGTTTATCCTAAACAGAATCGTTATTAATAATGGTTTGGTAATTAAGCAACCCAATATGGATTATTGATTACTTTTTTTCCACTATTTTTTATTATAAAATTTTTAATTTTTTTTTATTTTTTTTTAATTTTTTTTTTTTTAATTTTTTTATTTTTTTCAATACAACAACCCCATTTTTTTTATTTTATCATTATTTTTCATTAAAACTATCATTTTTATTATTTTATTTTAGATATTATTAAAATAAATAAAAAATAAAAATGATTGGATTATCAACTACATCCCCAGCATATAATGCTATGGTGTCATTAGAAAATTCAACAAAAGGTAGTTCAAACACAGTTATCGTTTATAAACCAATCTCAGACTTTATAGTATTACCAGATGCAGTTTTAACCGATGATGAAGTTTTAAAACGTCAAAAAGAAAAATTAGAAACATTAATGTATTCAACAAAAGATGCAATTACAATTGATTCAATTTTTAAACATATTGTTAACAAACAAATAGAGTATGTTTTTTTAAAGCATTTATTGTGTAGTTCATGTTTAATATATCTGTATACTAATAATTTTAAAACATCTTATAGTATTATTAAAGAATTTTATAAGCTTATTAAACAAGACGAGTATGAATCAATGTCAGAACTAATTATAACTTTTTCAATTGGTTGTAATAATGTAAGTATTTAATAGTCTTTTTTCATTACCATTTAAATATTAATATGTTTTTTAGGCATTAAGAATCTTAAGATATTTTATAAATTCAGATATTAATGAAGATATTAATAATGTTAATAGAAATTATTCATTCTCATCACTATTAATTTCAAATTTTTTAGAAAAAATTGGACAGCAATATATGAAGGATATATTAAGACCATTTATTTTACAAGTTATTCAAGATAAGGCTATTAATTTTAAGAATGATTTAGAGAATATAGATTCACCATTAAATTTTGGTGTAAACCAATTGGGAAATTTGGTTAATTGGAGTAATAGGCTAAGTGAATTAATTTGTAGCCAAGATTCATTAGATAAAATGCCAGTTCCAATCAAGATTATTGCTATGTTTTTCAACGAGATTTGGTTACAAGATGACAGCAATCAAGGTGTTGCAAACTTTTTAATTAATAAGGTTTTTGCCCCAGCCCTAGTTACACCCGAACTTTATAATTTAGTACCACCACAGGTTCATCTTAGTAGTAGATCATTATCAAATCTCGAGGTTTTAGCAAAAGTTTTATCATCATCTTTAACTGGATCCAATTGGGAATATCAATCATTATTTGAAACAAACAGTACAATGGCATCATTGAAGCAATCGATTAAAAGCACCTTTAAAGAAAATCAATATTTCAAATCTGTATTGTCAGCACGTTTCTCAACACAATCCTACCAATATACAAATGAGGCCCCAATGTCTCAAATTCACTTTTTACATAGAGTCCTTTGTACACAAAAATCAACTATTCGTCAAATGTTCCAATCTATGGATGATGCCCAAGAGTTTGAAAAGCTAATGGATTTAATTCCAGACTACAATTCTAGAGTAAATTATCAATTTTTAACACCTCAAGAGTCAAAAGCAGTTCGTAACTATATGGATTCAAAGAATGAAGAGGTTTCTTATATTAATCATGTACAAAAGAAAGGTAAGAAAGATTTTGTTAAAAGAATCCTTGTAGTTGGTGTATATCGTATTGTAACTTTTAAACCAAATGGTAAATTGGGTAGAGATGGCCATATCTTAGATCTTTTAGAAATCAATAGTCCAAATAACCAACAGTTCGAATTAGTTTTCAAAAATTTCCGTGTCCATGTTACCTCTGAAGAATGCGATCATATTATAACATGTATTCGTCGTGTTTATGAATATTGCTTTAATAATTGGCCATATTCATTAAAAATGAAATTAAAAATTCAACCTACCTCACGTCTTGAAGCCATTTCACCACCAGATCATACACCAACTACTGCTATGGCAAGTGCATATAAAGCTCTATGCTCTTATTATAACATACCTGTTAAGCAAACTATTGCATGGTATATCGAGCATGCTTTCAAAGACCCAAAATATAAAGCTTTCAACCTCAAAATGTTCACAAAGCACAATAGAGAATTACCAACCAACCAAGAATTAATACCATTGATCCACTCACTTCGTTATGATTGGTTCTTTGAGGAATTCACCATTAAAGAATATAAAGTTGACTCAAAAGATCTAATCAGTGAAATTATATCAATGCTTTCAAGTAACTCAACCATTACCTCGTTGACCCTCTCAAATCTTTCAATGGCAAGAGAATCAATGGCCAATATTTTCGATGTTATTCAAAATCAAAAATCATTAAAATTAAGAAAATTAAATATCAGCAATAATGTAATGGATGATAAGTCTTTAAACTCATTCTTTTCATATTTACAATATGGTGAAACCAATCAATTAGAAACTTTAAATATCTCCTCAATCAATATGAATATTCAGCATATTAGATCTTTTATAGACTCACTTCGTAGAGGTAATACCAAGTCACTAACTAGTTTAAATCTCTCTGGTAATAAAATCGGTGATAATGGTTACGAAATTTCAAGATGGTTAACAAACGAAGGCTCAAACATAAAGCAATTAGATCTTTCAGATACAATGCTAAAAATCAAATCATTCCAATTAAGTGATGCCAACTCATCAATTGAAACACTCGATTTGTCAAAGAATTTATTTAGAATTAAAGATGACATTCAATCACTCTCAAATGTATTACTATATTTACCAAAATTAAAATCATTAAACTTAAACAAAACTATGATTCCTTCAGATTCAATTAAAGATATCCTACAATTTTTAATAAACGATAACCAAGAACTATCTCAACAAGTACAACAACTACAAATTACAACACAGCAACAACAAGTAAATAATTTAAAGAGAACATTTAATCAATTAATAATCTCTGAAAACTCGATTCAACGTCCATTAATTACATCAATGATTGCCACTAACGCCATAAATTACATCAAGGTATTAGATTTCACAGATAATGATTTAACTGATGGAGGTATTAAAGAATTAGCAAGAGCACTTTATGGAAATCAAATGATCACCACCTTAAATATTAACGGTTGCTTCAGAGGCTCACCAGGTAAACAACGTAGTAAAGCAATTTTGGCATTATCAAATTATATCTCATCATCATCAGCATTACAACAATTATTAATGAGAGGTGGCCAAAAAACAAATCAACAATTACAACGTTGTATTATACCCTTCCTTTTATCATTAGGTAATACCCATACTCTTAAAAAATTAGATATCTCTGGTCATCAAATGGGTAGCCCCGGTGCTGTAGCTTTAGCAAAAAGTATCATCTTAAATACAAGTATTAGTAGCTTAATTATAGATAACAATACAATTGGTACCATAGGTTATGCAAATATTAAAAACTCTTTAAAACAAAATTATACAATCAAAGAAATGCCAATACCATTTTTCGATTTATCTTTAATTTTTCAAAATAGTGGTGCTTCTTTAATCGAACAAAAAAAACTAAGATCATTATTATTAAAAATTGAAAATTATTTATCTAGAAATCAAAGTTTATAAATAAAAATAAAATTGATCATTTTATCAAATATGTTCCAGTTGGGTATATTTATCAAATCTTTTACTTCAAAATTTAGCAATATTCAAATAAACACTGTTTAATTGTTTTTTTTAAATTTTTTCTCAAATATTTTTTATTTATTTATTTAAATTTTTTTGTATTTTATTTTTTTTTAAAAAAATAAACATTGTTTAATTGTTATTTTTTATAATTTTTCTCTAAAATTTTTTATTTATTTTTTTAAATTTTTTCATTTATTATTGTGTTAAATAATGGAAGATAATAATAATAAAGGAAATATATCACCTCTCAGTATTGCCCATTTTGAAAGTGACACAGATATACCATCCAGTAGCAAGTTAGAAAAACTAAAACTAGAGAAATATGAAAAAGAAAAAATCCTTTTGGAAAATGAAAAAATTCTTGATTTTTTAAATAAAAGGGTCCCTATAAGAGGATGTGGTAGTGGTTCACAATGTAAAGAGATTTTTGTTGATACAAAAGATATTAATGATGAAAAAGATAAAAAAATAAAAAAACAAAAAAAAAAAATTAAAAATCAAAAAGACAAGATCAGAAGCCAAAAAAGAACTATTGAAGATTTAGAAAGAGAAAATAGAAGTTTGAGAGACAGGATCGCGGAAAAGGAGTTGACCACCAAACTTGATAAGCAATGCGAAGAAATTGAAATTTTGAAAAAGGATATGGATAATCAAAAGAAAGATATGGATAATCAAAAGAAAGATATGGATAATCAAAAGAAAGATATTGAATTATTAAAAACACAAATGGATTCATTTGTATCAGAGAAAAAACAACTCAAATCTGATATTGACACCCAAACTATTATTGAATTACAAGAATCGGCATTGATTGGAGAACACTTTCTTGTGGTCACTGTTTGCCTGTACTATCTCAAATATTATTTATTACCCAGATTTAATTTGCTAGGTTATAATATAGAATGGGATGAGTTCGGTGAAATTTATCCCACAAATCCAATTGTGATATTATTAGCACCCGGTATATCATTGTACAAAATTAAAAAGTTATGTAGAGAAAGAAATCAAATTTTCGAAGATAGAAAAGAAGAAATAGTCAAAGCTATCAACATAATAAAAAAAACATACGGCCTCCTTTCAAATCCAGATCAAGACATTGGTTTCTGTAAAAGCTCACTTCTATGTATATTCCGTTTAATTGTTGAAAATCAATCATTTACATTTTAGGATAAATTAAATTAATCATTTTAAATAAATATAACAATTAAATAATATCTCTTATATAAATAAATGATATTTGGAAATAGTCTAATCAAAATGAAATCATTTTACATTTTTGTTTAAATGTTATTTTAAATTTTATTTTTTTATTATTTTTTGGTTATTGATCTTTTAAAGAAGTTTCTGCAACAAAATCTAGGTTTGAATGGACACATTGTAGTGTTTGATTTTAACATAGTTTGTTAAAACTGGTTCATTTTTTTCTTTGTTAAATGAATAACAGTCATTTATTAGTGTATTGCAAACAACAAACCACAGCCCTAATTGTTTGAAAATTTTAGATTCTCTAAATTCTTTGGATATTGAGATTGGGGGCAGTTGATGAAGCTAGTGCAATTATAATACCTATGTCATTCATTCCAATCAACTTATTCAACAATATTCCTGCAATATAAATTTAAAACAATATATAAAATTTAAAATATTAACCTCTGTACATTTGCAACTCTCTTCAATCTTTAATTGTTATAAATAAAGCTTTTTCAATTTTAATTAATAATTTTAATCGATTTTTTATTTCGATGTATATTTTTCGTGGGAATTTTACTTTTAAGAGATAAAAAAAAAAAAAAAAAAATTATTAAAATATAATTAAATTTAAATAATTTTTATTGCATATAAAAATTAAAATTTGTCATCAGTTAGCTGATGAGGTGTAAAAGCTAATAGTGTTTAAACCTGGAAAAGTCATTATATTTTGGACAGGAAAAAGAAAAAGTTAAAACTTTTTTTTTTTTTTTAATTATTTTTTTTTTTATTTTTATTTTTATTTTTTTTTTAATTTTTAATTTTTGAAAATTTTTTTTTTTCAAGATTTTTTTTCATTTTTAAAAAAAACTTTAGTTTTTTAAATTCACCCAATTTGTATTATATATATTTATAAAAAAATGAAATTATTATACGCTTTATTAATTTTAGTTATTGTTTTCTTTGCTGGCGGTATTGAAGCCAACAAAACTGATAAGTAAGTATTTTGTAAACAATAATTAAAATTATTAATTAATATAATATAATATTAATTTTTTTTTTATTTTTTAAAGATCAAATAAAACTACAGAAGAAAGAATTAGAGATGAAATCAAAGTTTGGGAACAAAATTGGAGTGGTTTCCCAATTAATTGTAGAAGAATGGTAGATACATTATCATCAGATGGTGTTGTTGAATACCCAGTTGGTAAAAATATTATTGGTGGTGGTCACAAAAGAATTTTCAATAGATGCGAAGCTTTTATTACAGAAAACTTTAGTCAAATGATCAACTATGCTCATGAACCAGTTTACATTGTTGGTCGTGAAGTTGCATTCAAGAGAACTACTGTTTTCGTTACCAAAAACAACTGCAGACTTTACAACACTGGTATTGTTACCATCAAATACGATAAAGATTTCAAGATTAAACAACTTAAAGATTATTTCGATGCTGATGATTTAGTTAGCAAATTCCAAGCTTGTCAATTCCCAGGTTCAGAATTACCAGATATTAACGCCGAAGAAAAACCAACTGAAAAACCAGTTGAAGAACCAGCCGAAACAGTTGCTCAAGATAAAAAACAAGATAAAAAAGAAAAAACTAAAGATGAATTATAAATAAATAAAAATATAAAATAATAATAATAAAACACAACAATAATAATATTTATTAAAATAATAATTATGGTTTATTTAATTTATTTAGTTATATGTGTATTGGAAGAAGTTTAAATTGTTTTTAAAGTTTATAAATTCTTTATCATCAACCAATAGTTTTTGTTTTTTTTTATAAATAATCTCATTATCGATTCTTGAATATTCGAAATCGTGGTTGTGTTCAATTAAATATATGTTAACTTTTAGTTGGGATTGGTGGTTGTTGTTGATACTTGTTAAAACCTGCTGAAGAACCTCTTCTTTCTTTACCATCACTTCACCATAGTTGATTTCTAATAGTTTTAAATTTGGACTTTTTCTGATTATATTTCCTAAGAATGCTAAATCGAAATCATTATCATCTTCATCAAAATTATAGTTTATTGAAATTGATAAATGTTTGATTGAGTTTCCATTATAGCAAATGTGTTCAAATAGTTTGATATAATTATTGCTGAATCCAAAATAACCTTTAATTTCTAATTTCTTTAACGATTGAATTTTAGGTATGTAGTTTAAATACATATTTTGAGTGATGGAAACACAGTAGGCCTTGTAATAATATTCTGGTAAATTTAAATCTCTAAAATAAGTTCTCTTTAGCATTAGTTTATCCTCACACAAGATATCGCTTTCATCGGAATTTATTATTAGTTCTTCCACTCTGGATAAATGATGATACATTGATTGGTCCAATGGTAAGTATTTAATTGACTCATAGTTTAAATATAAAGGTGGTTTTTTAACTAAACTATAATCACTATTATAATTGAATTTCTTATAATAAGGAAATTTATATCTATTTAATATATTTGAAAATAAATAAAAAAATCTTTTGCAAACTAATGATACAGTGATACACTTTTTCATATCAATAGCTTCTATTCCTATATTGTTTTCTATTGACTTATATTGATTTATATTTAAATAAGAGTTTAATATGAATTCTATTATCTTTGATATAATTAAATTGTCGAATCTTTTTAATATTTTAAAATTATTTTCAACATTATTTAAATTTTGATTTTTTAAATTATTATTCTCTAATAAAATTTTATTACAATTTTTATTTACATAACTATTATATCTATTGTTATTGCTATTAAATCTAAATTGAATTTAATGATAGTGTTAATATTAAAAAAAAAATTTATTTTTTTATTTATAATTACCTTAAATCATTTATATTAAAACTATTGATATTTAAAAATAAATATTTTAAATAGTTTATTTCAAATTGATGATTTCTATCTAATATATTATTTAAGATTTCTAGTTTCATAGTTAAAAGTTGATCACTTTGTTTGTGTTTTTCAATAAAATTGACAATCTAAAAAAAAAGAAAGTTAATATATGATTTATTTTTTTACATGGTTAAATTTTACTTACTCTTCTATCTGAAAATATTAAATAATATAAATTTGTTACATCTTTATAACTGATTAAATTGCTTCGGTTGTAAAGTTTAAGTAAATTAAAAACTTTGATGGATGGGTCAAAAAATATATTTACAATAAACTCAAGATATGAATTATTATTAATAGAGTGTTCATTTTTATACAAATAATAAAAGAAATGGAAAACAACCGAAAAATATCTGACCCTTTGAAACTTTGAATGAATCCAACTTAAATACTCTATTGCTTGATCCATTGTAATAATTTCTATATTTTTAAAAATAGATTTGATTTTTGATCTAAATTGATTGTTTATTATTTGTTGATTGTTATTTATAAGATATTTTAAAATTTCATCAGAGTTATCTAATGGGAGTGAATCTTTAACATTATTATTGCTTTCCTCACCACTGTAGTCCATTTCATCTATTTCCATTTGAACCATATCATCATCCATATTATCTTGATCAAACAAGTAATCTATTTGCTCCTCTTTGATTATATTATATAAACTTTCATCATTTTCATTTTGTAAGTAATATATTTCTTTATTTAATTTATTTACATTTATATTATTATTATTACTACTATTGTTGTTATAATGATTTGAATTTATAATATTCATATTTATATTATTAATATTACTATTGGTGATATTAGGATTATTATTACTATTATGGTTATTACTATTAATATTATTATTATTATTGTTGTTGTTATTTGTATTCAATATTAATTTAGAGAAATTATTATTTAAATCTAATGTCATTCTTTTGAATATTAAATAATATATTGGAGAAAAAAAAAATAAAAAAAAAAAAAAAATTTAAATTAAATAAAATTATTATTTTTTTTTTTAAATTGTATTTATATAATGATATGTATGAAATATTTTAAAATAAAAAAATACTACTATTATTAATATGTTTGATTAATAACATTGTTTGACATGGAAAAATAGTTTAATAAAATTAATAAAATAAAAAAAAAAAAAAACAATAAAAAAAATTTAGTTATTTTCATATAAATACTTCATGATTAAGACACCAACAATTATTAAATATAATTTTCACACACTCACACACAACATACACATGTTTTTATTAATATACCACACATACACACAACCACACAAACCCACACTTACTTAAGATATACCCACACACACACAAACACTTAAAATAACATCAAATAAACCTTGATATATATTTTTAATGCAATGTATCATGTCACTTTTACTCTCTGTTATCATTTTCTCTCAGAAACTTGGTTAAGATTATACAATATGTAATTTTAATGGGAGTTTGGTCTACTCCAATATGAAGTTTAATGAATAAAAAATTGAATTTCAATTTTATTAATTTTTTTTTTTTGGGTTATTTTTTGCTACTATTGGTACTAAATTGTGAATAATATTCCAAAAAATAAATAAAAACTAAATTCAATCTCCTAGTATATCTAATTTATATTAATAAAATAATAAATAAACCAAAATTGAATTTTAAATATAAATAAATAAAATAATATTTTTCATTTATTATTATATTTTTTTAAATCTATGATTATTACTTCATACCTAAATTTCGAAACTATTCCTATTTTAAATATTGATTACTATTATTTTTTTTTATTATTATTATTATTATTTTCAAACAAAAACTATTTTAAATTTTCGAATGGATCGGATAAAATTATATTTTTTGAAAAATTATTTAAAGATTCTCTAAATTGACCTACTAATCTTTGAAGATTTCTATTACTTGCCATAATTGGTAAAATTTCTTTTAAAAGGTTTCTTTTTTGATGACCTAAAATAGTGGCTTCCCAAGATGGTATAATACTTGATAATGGGTTATTAAATAATGACGAACTATTAAACTGGCTTGTGTTAAAACTTGTATTGCTATCAATATCATCCAAAATATTTAAAGTTGATGATGGACCAAGTAAATCTGTACATAAATCTTGAAGTTTTAAAATAGAGCCAGAGTTTGTTAAATATTTGGCATAAATTAATAACCAATGATGGTATTCTTGTGGTGATTCTAAAACCTGTGATAACCATAGTTGTTTTTCTAAGAATAAAGTTGATAAAAGTTGTTGTTGATTTGATTGTGATTCACTATTGGTTAATGCAAGTAAGTTTGATAAGGTTGCGTTGTCATTAGCATTGTTACTATTGTTTCCAGAGGAAATAGATCCAATGCCGCTATTACCAAGTTTATTCCCCATTTTTTGGAGAGTTGATAAAATACCAGTATTTGATGTATCGACACTATTAAACTCTGAGAGAGCTCCTAATCTATCAGTTATTTTAACCCATTCCGAAACCTCTTTACAAAATACAAAACTATCACCATTTGAAAAAGTTACAATGGGTTTACCAGTTTCTTCAGTGACAAAAGCATGTTTAATCGTAAGGTTCTCTCTATTCTTTATGAAAGGTAACTCTCTATTAGACAATACAGATTTCTTCTTTAGTATATTCCAAACCGAAACAAAACCATCACATGTAATCGCTAAAAGATGAGTAGTTTTATTACTCTCTAAAAAGGAAATTTGATTTCTTAATACTAAATTTGACATTATAACAGCACCATTCTTATTGAAAACGTGTAAAATTGAATCTTGAGTTGTGACAGCACACCAATACTTGTTACCAGTAACCAAGGTTACCCTACCCGGTATTTTAACTTCCCAAAGTTGTGTATCATAGGTTAAATATCTAATCATCGAGAAGTATTCAACAGTTTCATCGTGCAATTCGGTTTCTACTATATTTACATCTACAACAATTGGTGGTGATGGTGATGGTTGGTTGGTGGTTGTATTGGTTTCTGAAAATCTATTCATAATTTGATTTAATGGTTGTTGTGGTTCTGTTATGATTTTTTTTGATATTTTATTTGAAATGATTGGTAACGCTATACTAAAGCCTGAAGGAATTGATGTTGATACAATTTGGTTGTGGAAATTATTTTCTGGTTGTTCTTTTTGTTGTGATTCTTTTTGTTGTGATTCTTTTTCTTTGTGGTGATGGTGATGGTGAGATTTCTTTTTCTTATGATGAGGTGTACTAGATGAATCTGAAATAAAATGATCATCTCTATCGCTTGTGGTGACGGGCTCTCTTCTTTTCTTTTCAATACCACCGCCAAATGGTTTTTGTAATGGAATTGCTGCAGCCAATTCCTCTTTATCACTTTTATCTATAATATTATCATCATCATCTTTTCTTTTATCTCTTCCACGTTGCATTAATTTCTCTTGGATAGGTGAAACATCCATAACAATATCATCTCTAACTCCACCCTTAAAAGGTGTACCATTTAAATCATTTGATATGGTTGGTGTTGCTGTAGTTGATGGTGATGGCGATGTTGTTTTTGAAACTTGTTGTTGAAGATGTAATGGTATAGCAAGTGGTTGTGGTTTGGTTATATTCTGTGAACTATTACCAATAAAAATTGGTGTAATTCTTCTTTTACCATTAACTATAGTTTGTTTTTGATTTTGTAATGCAACTTGAGTTGGTTGAATTTCTTTATTTGATGTTGTGGTTGGTGTTGGTAAATCACTATTATTATTTTCTAAATTTTGGGCATTACTGCTGTTATTACCACTGCCCCCAATAGACTCTTCCATTGCTAACTGATCAGGATTTTCAGGTAAAACTGCATGGCTACCACTGTTTGCAGCAGATGATTGAATATTACCACCTCCATAAATTAAATTTCCATCCTTATCAAGCTGAACAGAATCACCATAATAATTTCTAAAGAATGTTTGTTTCTCTGCAGCAGTAATTGGTGTACCCCCTATTTCCTCTTCTGATAAAGAAATATAACCAACAGTACCATCAGTGGAGCATACTACAAATGATAAACCATCTGGACACCATGAAATATCTTGAATTGATTGATCAAATAGTGAATGAGCAACCATTAGTGAACGTGGTGATGATGAAGACCATAATGATATTGTTGAATCTTGACCACCTAATAAAATTAAACAGAAATTTCTATCTTTGAATTTAAACTCTTTATAAATAATTGGTGAACATCTGGAAACTACAACCGCTCTTTTATGACCAACCAAGTCCAATCCTAACTTCCAGTCAGTTCTTTGAATTAATACACCAGTATGTGTAGCATTATTAATACCATGTGTTGCAACTATAAATTGACCATCAGGCGTCCAACTGAATAAAAATAAACAGAATATATATTAATATTTATTTTTACTTTAATCTATTATTATTATTTTAAAAAAAGAAATAATTTACCTTGGTCTTAAAAAGAATGAGTTTCCATTGTGTTGAAATGGTTCTGTAATTACAGTTTCAATTACCCAGTCTGAAGTTCTCCACACTATTAAACTCTTATCCTCTGATTGAGATGCTAAATATCTACCTAAAGGATCCCAAGTTAAACCTTTTACAAAACCTTTATGTTCTTCTAATTTTGTGACCATAGCTAAATAAATTACTAAATGTTAATATTTTATTTTTTTCATTTTTTAAAATGCAAATACATACCGAATTTTGATGTTTCCCAAATAATAATAGTTTTATCAAAACTACAAGTTGCTAAATATTTATTATCTGGTGACCAACTAACTTCAGAAATATCACCAGAATGAGCTCTAAGAGTTGCAACACAAACCCAATTTTCAACTGAAGATTTCATATAGTTTGATTTTGATAACCCCCAAATCATACACAACTTATCATCGGAACTTGATGCTAAATATTTTCCATCCTTGGACCATTTGACACTATTTACAGTTTGAAAATGAGAGTTTTCTATTGAACATAATAATTTTGGTGTATTTTCGTCATTTTCAACTTCAGATAGAGATATTGGTGCAACACTCCAAATTTTTATTTTAGCATCACCACCACCTGTTGCCAATCTTGTACCATCTGGATGTACATCAATTGAATAAATTGATAGACCTATTATATTGAATTGATATTATTAATAAATAATTTGTGATTTATATTTTATATTTATTAATAAAATATAAATAAAAGTAATAATATGATTATGGTATGAATAATATGTAAAACATGAATAATATGAATTTAAATAATATGAATAATATGAGTAATGTGGACGATAAGAATAATATGTATAATATTAATAATGGGAATATAAACATGATTTGGATATAAATATTATGAGTAATTTTAAAAATATTTACCAGAGTGAGATATCCATTGTGGTTTAATAATTTTCATTTTTCTTTTTTTTCTTTAAATTATTTTAATTGTTTGTATTTATTTTTATATGGATAATATGTTATCTTTTTTGTGTCTATATCTAATTATATGAAAGATGTATGTCAATTACTAAATATGAATAAATACAAATCAAAATAAATAAGAAAAAAAATATATTTTAAAAAACAAACACACAATATCAAATAAGTGAAATAAAAAGAAATATTAAAATAACAGATATTTAATCTGTATATTTAGTCTCCAATTAAAATAAAATAATTAAATAAAAAAATGAAAAAAAAAAAAAAAAAAATTTTTAAATAAAATATATAAATTAAAAAAAAAATTTTATTTAAAATAAATTTAAAATTTTTTTTTTTTTTCAAATTTTTTTATTTAAAGGCGGTGTTCCAGATTTGTTTTTTTTATCAATAAATGTAAATAAAACATGCACAATACTATTGACGATGATGATGACGCCCATATCAACCCCAATCAACCACCAACCAATAGTATAAGAGATATCATATTTTCAAATTCCCCATTAGATCAATATTTACAATGTAACTATCAAAAAATAAAGAATATAAAAATAAATAAAAAAACTAATGTTTTTTTTTTTAAATTTATAAATAGCATTAAATGAAAATGGTGAAAAAAATGATAACAATTATTTTTTAGAAGGTGAAGTTTTATCATTCGAGGATTTTAATCAAGATATTCAAGAACAAAATCAAGAAAAAGAACAAATTGAAAACAATGATAATAATGATAATGATAATAACAATAATGAATATAACGAGAATAAAGAAAGAACAGATTTAAAGTCATCTTCATATTTCAATAGCGATTTAAAAATATTCTTTTTATCATTATATCAAAATATTTCTTCTACTATTATAGATTCAGATTTATTACATCCACAGGAATCACCATTTATTCAAAACCCAAACTTTTCATTAGACTTTAATCATGATGAAAATGATGAGGATGATAACGATCAACTACCACCAATCTATCCGCTATCAATATTAAATATATCAAACAACAATATTATTAATAATAGTTTTTTGAAAAATAAAAAAATTTATCTTTATAAATATTTAAATAACGTTTTTCATAAAAATATCAGTAGTAATAATAAAATTATAATATCTTCAATTTTAATAATAATACCAATAATATTGTATATTATAAATCCAATAATTTTAATAATGCTTTCAGTTTTATTAGCCAGTATAATAATATCAACCATAAAATATATAAATTTAAAAATTAAAAGTATCAATAAGAAAACAGATCATATTAGCACCCAAATTAAATCACTTATTGAAACCAGTTCATTACATTGCGACAACCTAACTAAATCAATTCAGCTAATACGTGAAGTTGAATTAATCTCAAGAGGCTATAGACTATCAACACCCCTAACACCAATTGAAAGACTAGAAATAAACAATCCAAATTCTAATAGTGGAGCAAACAAATCAGAAAAATCTTTTATTTTAAGAGCAGGTGTATCAAAATCATTAAGAACCTCAATACAATTATTTAAACAAATTATTGACACAAATTTTTCGAACAAATTAACAAATAAACAAAAAAGGTTATATATAAAATCAAACCTATCAAACTTGTACACTGAACCAATTAATAATAACAACAATAATAATAATAATGAAGAAGAGGATGAAGAACTATTAAGAATGGAATATGATTCACAGCTTCCAATTATAACATTAAAAATGATGCTGCATCAATATCAACTTATGATTTCAAATTTTTTTACAATTTTAATAATTTATAGTTCAAATATATTTTATAACAATGCCAAAAACAACCAAACAAATATAAATATAAATAGAATACTAAAATCACTTGATATTAATAATAACAAATCAGATTTAAATATTTTATTCAATTTAAACAACATCCTCAGTTTGTTGAATGATTTAGAAATTGTTTTATATAATTTACATTCTAGACTTTCAATCGAAAATAACTCAATTAAATCATTGATTTCAAAAGAACTTTGGGATAACAGTAAGTATTACTAAGCATTTAATTTTCTATTAGTAAATTTACTAATGATATACTTTTTTATAATTTTAGAAATACCAAAAAGAGTTTTAATTTCAAAACCAAAAAAAACAATTGTAGAATCTTTTATTTATAGCACCAATCAAATAGCCGAATCTTTAAATGGAATCTCACCCCTATTTACAAGCCTACATAATAAAATCAAACCATTTGAACAACAACAAAAAGAAGAACAAGATACTCAAGATGATGAATCAATTTCAATTATTGATATATTAAAACTAGATGAAGTTGTGAATGATTTTATTAAAGTAAAATCAGAACTAAACCACTGCTTAAAGAATTGGGAGAGTGCAAATAAATCTTTAGTTAAAATGGTTAGATCAATACCCACCAACAACCCAAATCTACAAAAAGAATGGAGTGAAGAAGAAGCAAGCGAAAAATTAAAGACACTCTTAGAAAGATTAAAAAGCCATATTTCATCACACAATGAATTAATTGCAGATGAAGATAGCAATGTCGATAATAGTAACAAATTTAAAGATTACAAATTCCCCGATATTAACTCCAATAATAATGATCAATGGCAATTTTATGAAGATATTGGGGATTTAGATGTATATATTGAAAAACCAATACCACCACCTCCACCACCGCTATTAAATGATAATGAAGAACAATCAACCACTCCCTCTCCATTAACCTCTGCTCCACCACCCCCACCGCCCCCAGGTAAAGGTTTACCAAGAAGAACAAAACCACCTAAAAGAACTGTATTTGACCCAGATTTCGACCCAATCACTCAAACAATGAAAAGTAAATCATCACCCTCTACTTTATCATCACAAAAACCATCCTCATCAGACCCAAACCTAGGTGTGCTTGTATGTAAATTTAATTTTTAATAGATTTCATTTTTTTTTTTTTTTTTATACTAATACTTTTTTACAAACCATTTAGATCCCACAAAAAAAAGTTATTACGGAATTAAGATCAGTTTTAGATATCCACATTTCTAAAAAAAACTTACCAATATAAATAATACACCAATAATGGAAATTTCCCAACACCAAATCTTAAAAAAACTGGTGCCTCAGCTAATCAGATCTAATTTATTATTTAAATAAAATAAAAAATCAAAGTTTGAAAGAAATAAATATCCCAAACTGATTCATTGGTGTAACAAAAAAAAAAATATATATATATTTTTTGGTGATAAATTTTATATAGGCTATCGAAATTTATATTTGGAATAATAACATAAATTAAATATTTATTTTAATATTTTTTTAAAAATTTTATTTCAATTTACTAAAACATCTTTTATTACAAATTTTTTTTAGTTATTCCCATTTTTTTTTTTTATAATTTTTTAAGCACCTATTACTGTTAGGTTCTATAATTATCGTTATCATTTTCTTCTAATCATTTTAAATTTTTTAAAAAAATATTATCTGTTTTTGACTTTTTTTTTTTATAAAAAAATTATCCGTTTTATAAAATTTGCCAATAGATTCAAAATACAAACACACTTCATATTTGTTTCTAAAACTTTTTAAGTTATTAGTGGTATTTTTGTGTGTGGGTGTTTAAATATTTGTTTACTTAAATATGTTTTTAAAAATATTTTTTTTTTAAATTAATTTATTTTAAAAAATTAAAAAACTATAAATCAAACAGTTTGATTTTGATTTTTTAATAATCACTATTTGTTTATTAAAAAAAATATATTTTAATTTTAAATTATAAAAACTATAGAAAATGGAATTTCTTTCAAACTGGTTAATATTTGTTGCACTTTATAAATTTGTTTCTTTCTTTCTCATTTTTAAAGATGATGTTTATAAAAATCAATTTAACAGAGACATAATGAAACAAGGTAATAAGAATACTGCTACTTTAAATATATTGCTTGTAGCTTTATATTAATTTAATTTTTTTATTATTTAACTTTAATAGTGAACCCTTTGTTCTGCAGAGCAATACAACTATGGCTTGCATATACTGGTGCTGTATCATTATTAACATCATACCATTTAGATAATAAAGATTTGGTTTTTAGTTGTTTCATTTCTTTTTTGATACCATTTCCATACTTGGTTAATGAATTCTTTATTCATAAAACATATGCCAAGATACATGCATTGCATGTTTTCCCACTTTGCGTAACATCAATAATTGGATTATTTAATCATTATATGGTTAATTTTTAAAATATTATTATTGTTAAAAAATGGAAATAAAAAAATTTTAATTTAAAAAAAAAATATTGCATTCCACACTCCTTTCTTAAAATCATTAGAATTTTATTTTGGACATAATTTATATTTAAAAATAATAAAAAATAATAACAAAACTCATTTATTTGGTTTATGCATAACAAATAAGTACATAGATTATTTGAAAAATAAAAAAAAATTTTTTTTTTTTTTTTTTTTATAATTTTTTTTTTTTAATTTTTTTAAATTTTTTTTTTTTTTTTTTTAATTTTTTTTTGGCAGTTTAATCATATCTTTTGTATATTTTCTATTTTTATTATAAAAATTGTAAATTTGCAATAATTATATAAACACATACAAGATTTTTTAAAAAATTCTTTTTTTCTTTTTTCTTTTTTTTTTTTATTTTAAAATAATTATATAATAATAACAAATTATCTATTTGTGTTTTTTTTTTTTTTTAAATATTAAAAAAAGCGATAATAAAATAATATTAGTATCCTGTAATAAAAAATAAATAAAAAGAAAATCACACCTTAACAAAAAATATATCACACATCTTACTATACCATATAAATATATAAATAAAACACCATAAAATAAAATAAAATAATGGGTTCAACATCTCCATCACCAGTTAAACTATTTTTAAATAGTTTTGAAGGAAGTATAGATTTAGCAGAATCCATAGAAGACTCACCACAATTTAGAAAGCAAATCAAAGATACAGAAACAAGCATTGAAGAGCTAACAAGCAATATTAAAAAGATATTAAAGAGTTCAAAACAAAGCTGCGAATTAGGTAACGAATATAACTCAACATTCAAATCATTTGTCGATGATCTTTTAATTTATAAAGGAGAAGCCTCAGTAAAAGATGAATTGTTAGAAAAAAGTATGATTAAATTTTCAAATTCATTAAAGGAAATTTGTAATTTTAGAGAACTTTTAGTAAGTATAATTATTCATTAAATTTTCAAAAAAAAAAAAAATATATTAATATTTTTTTTACCATTATTAGCATGAAGAGATGAATCATTTAATTTCAGAACCATTACAAAATTTTGCTGAAACAGATTTAAAACATGTTAAAGAACAGTATAAGCGTTATGATAAATACAGTCAACAACACGAAATTTCAGCAAGTAAACTAGGGCAAATAAAGAAAAAAAACTCTGTTAAAATTGAAGAATTATCACAAGAAGCAAACGAATCTTTAAAACTACGTGTCCAATATGGTTTAGATTTAGTTGAATCTATGAATCAAGTTCAAGCAAGAAGAAGATTTGAATTTTTAGAATATTTTTCAGTTTACCTTCAGGCACAATCCACATTCTTTCACCAAGGCTATGAATTATTTAGGGATTTAGAGCCACATATTAGAGTATTTTCAAACTATTTACAAGCCACAAGAAAAAACTTTGAAGAACAAAAAAGAAAACAAACAATGCAAAAAGCCGATTTAATTGAAGTATGTTTTAACTTTTAAATATTTTATAAAACTCTTTAAGAACTTTAATTCTAACTTATTCTTCATATACAGAAAACATTTTTAAGCTCATCACCAACATCAGTTAGTAGTAGCCCAGTCAATGGAGGTATCATATTTACACCTAATAGAACATCTGATACAATGTCAAAAAGAGGATATTTATTTAAACGATCAGAATATAACTCCTATACCAGAAAATTCTTTTCATTGGAAAATGGTAAACTTTCATACTATAGAAGTGCCAACGATACTGCACCATCACATACATATGATTTATTTTTAACTACAGTAAGAATACGTGAAGATTTAGATAGAAGGTATTGCTTCGAACTTTTATCACCAGATAGATCAATTATTTTAGCTGCTGAAAATTTAGAAAGTATGCAAGAGTGGATACAGGTTTTACAAAATGCGACTGCAAATTTATTAAATAATTGTTCAAAAGACAACTCACCAAATTGTAATAATAGTTTTTCAAATATAATAAATAATAATAATAATAATAGCAATAGTAATATTAATAGCAATATAAGCAATAATATAAATATAAATAATAATAATAATAACAATAGAAATCGAAGTGGTACACCATTAACTGGCGGTAATTATCCTCAAAATTTAAATTCATCATGGGGCTCAAATGCCAGTTCAAATGTAAATTCAATAAATAACAGTGGAAGTAATATAGGTTTAAATTGTAGTGGTAATTCAATCAATAGTAATAATAGTAGTATAATTGATGAAACCCCATTATCACTACTAAGAAGAATTAATGCATCCAATAGTTTTTGTGCAGATTGTAATGCAAAGGATCCAGATTGGGCCTCTATTAATTTTGGTAGTATAGTTTGTATAGATTGCTCAGGAATTCACAGAGGTTTAGGTGTCCATATTTCAAAAGTCCGTTCATTAGTATTAGATAAATGGGAACCAGAACTTTTAGGTATGATGAGATGTATAGGAAATGAAAAAGTAAATAAAATATTTGAAGAAAAAGTACCAAACGACCGTAAGAAACCCACACCAAACGATTCATTTGAAGTAAGAGCACGTTGGATAAGAGATAAATACGATAAAAGAATTTTTGTAAACTATTACGAAAGACCAATAGAAGAGATCAACTCAATTCTTTATCATATATCAGGAGAATCAAATACAGGTTACATTTTAGAACTATTAGCAAAAGGAGCTGATCCAAACTACAAAGACTCACACCATCACAATAGAACACCCCTTCACAATGCAGTATTCCATAATCAACCTCAAAATGTTTGTTTATTAATCCAAAATGGTGCCTTCACCGATATTCAAGATGACCATGGTGACACACCCCTTCATGTCTCTGCCGATAGTGGTTCCTCAAATTGCTGTATATTAATACTAATGAAATGTGTAAAATTATTATCAATTACAAACAAATCTTCCCAAACCCCTTTGGATTTAGCTGTTGACAAAGGTCATGTTGGTTGTGTCGCTATATTACGTTTAGCTCAATTACAAAAAGATGAAGGAAAACAAAATTTCGATGAAGCATTTGCAGAAGTTTTAAGAGGTTTCTCAAAAGAAAAATAATTTACAATAATAAATATACTTATAACAATCAACTTTTTCTTTTTTTTATTTTAGTTTTTTTTTTTTTTTTTTTTTTTTTTTAATTGTGTGTAAATTAACCAGGTCAAAAAAAAAAAAAAAAAAAAAAAAAAACCAACTTTTTGTGTGTTTATCTTTATTTCTATCTTTTTATAAGTTAATAAAATAAATTTATATATAGATAAATGATTTAATAAGGAAAAGTATAAAGAATATTTTATGATAATCTATTTATTCTATAATTAATTTAGATTTTTCCATTGAGTTGACTATATATCTTCTAATTTAATAATATTCGTTAAAAAACGAACCAAAAACCTAAATAAATAAATTTTTTATTTTTTTAATTTTTTTAAATATTTTTTAAATATTTTTTTTTTTAAAAAAATTTTTGGTTTAAAAATTTTTTATTTTATTTTAATATATATTGTAATAAATATATGTAATAAAGAATAAAAAGTAATAATAGAGCATAGCTTATAAAATTTAAAAAGGAAACATAAAAAGGGTAAATAATTTATTTAGATCATAAAAACATTTAAAAAATAATTATTTTTTTTATTTTTTTTATTTTTTTTTTTTATTTAAAAATTTTTTTTATTTTTTTTTTTTAAAAAATCTTTACTTTTTCCACATATTATTATTTTTTCCACCTCACATATATAAAACAAATCTTTTTTTTTTTAATATATATATATATAATATTAATATTTGGCTTTAATTTTATTTGTTTAGAATTAAAAATCATTATCATCGAATTAATACAATTATAATAGTTTAAAATGTCAACACCAGATAAAAAGAAGAGAATTGAAGGTGATTACCACGAACCAGAATATATTAGCGTTGTAGTCAGTGATCCAGTTAGAACTGATGAATATATATCATATAAAATTACCACAAGTGTAAAATATCAAAAAAAAAACTACAAAAAAAACAATAGCAGATTACAATAACTTTGATTAATCGATTGGATATTTAATATTATAACAAATTTATTAAAAAATCAACAATATGCCTAAAAATAAACAAAACAATTAATAGTATAATAATATCAATATCAATATCAATTTTAATATTAATAATAACAAAAAAAAACAATAAACAATAAACAATAAACAATAAACAATAAACAATAAATAATAAACAATAAACAATAAACAATAATAATAATAATAAACAATAAACAATAAACAATAATAATAATAATAATAATAATAACTAAAATATATAGTTTATTAATAATGATTTAAAATATAGTTTATTAATAATTTATTAATTTATTTTTTTTAGACAACATTCCCAGAATATAAAGAAAGAGAATTCACTGTCAGAAGAAGATATAAAGAATTTGTTAATCTTAGAGAACACCTAAAACAAAAATTATCAGAAAAACCTAAAGCCATTAAATTTGGTGAACTTCATCCATTACCAGGTAACAATCTTTCATCATTATTCGGACAAGGTCGTTTTGAACCTGAATTTATCGAAGAAAGAAGAAAAGGTTTAGAACAATTCTTAAACTCTGTAGCTAACCATAATTATTTCCGTTTTGTAACTTATCTTCATCGTTTCCTTGAAGAGAAAGATGCTGTGTTTTTATAATATAAATAAAATAAAATAAAATAGATAAAATAAATAGTTTTTTTTTTTTTTTTTTTTTTTAATTAAAACAAAAATAGGTTTGAATATTACAAAAATATCTTTATAAAAAATTTCTATAAACTCTAAAAAAAAAAATTATATATAAATTTTTTTTTCTATTTTTTTATTTTTTTTTTTTATTTTTTTTATTTCTATTATTACTATTTAATAAATTAATTTAAATTTAACAAATTTAAAGGACTGGGAATAAGTTTTGTTCAATGAAATAATTGATTTGATCTCTAATTAAAGCTTCAGTAAGTTCTGGATATTCGTATTTGAAACCAGTTTTTTCGATTTCTGAACCATCGACAGAAAGATGATTGTTATATAAAAACTCTTGATCAATGTATGGGGTTAATGGAGTGTTATTGATACCCTTTTTCTTTGCAAAGATCGGACCATGGTTTGAGATGTTTGTCATTGGCTTCTTCACAGATTTCTTTGAGGACAATTTTAGCAGCAACGCTAGATAAAATGTTACCAGTGAAACTGGTCTTGATGGA